TAAAATTAAGGAAAATATTCAATGGAAACGGGTGGAGATCTGATTCTTTAACATTATTTTCTAATATTCTCCTTACAAATATCTTCATTGATTAAGCTTGTTCCTAGCCAAATATTACGCTTACCTACGTAAATACCATGACGTAGTTGTGTTCGACATAATCTGGAATGAAAATGTAAAAAAGTTAAACAAAAAGCAGCAAATATAATGAGAAAATGTATTAGCGTCTTATGCCACCTCCCACCTGTGAAAAAATTAGCTTCCGTAAACAAATAATTATAAAGTTACGCTTTAATTTTATACACTGTTACAAACAAGCATAATTACATTTGTTGGTTTTCTCTTTAAAAATATGGTTCAGAAAATGACTTTCTGAAACAAAACAAAAATTATTTGACTGTTAATTACATATTCATTATAAATTAGTGATTTCAAAACCTCAATATGCATAGTTTAATTAATCTTGTTATCTTAGCAGTAAAAAACAGATAAAAATTCATTAATCAACTACACGTTTGATCATTTTTTTATTTTGGGTGTACTTTATTTTTGATTTTTCATATTATCATCATAACTCTTGAGTTAGACACCATTAAGAAATATAATAAAATCATTTACATGACTCCTCTTCAAATGAATCTTATATCTTAACCAAAAATCTTAAAGTATTAAATTTATGAATTTTTTTGCTTATATGATCCTCACTCAACACATTTCTAACCAATATGAGAATCCACGCGTCCCAGCAACATAAGTGCCTTAATTTGCTGATATAGCATGCACATCTTTCTTTTTTATTCTTTACTTATTGATTTAAAAAATAATAATAATAATAATCTGGTAATTCAAACACCATTGATTGAATATGATTACATGAATATGTCACAATATATGGTCCGAAGTATAAATAGGCACAGATAATGCACATGTTCAAAAGGCAATTGTGTCTAAGAGAAGTTCTCTTAAAAGTTTGTTCATTTATTAGATGGAGACTCATAAACGGTTTCTATATCGTTAATACTTTATATCTCAAATTTTATAAGATCACACGAGGTTTTAGTTTCCAATGATTTCTATAGAAAAATTTGGGGAAGAGACGCCTAATTTTAAACCCGGAAACTATAGTGGAGAGAAGATGTGCTCTTCATACAGATCAACTTATGATCAAATCATAGTTTACACAAATACAAAGGTTCTTACATAGTTATAAAAGTACATTTTTCCTCAGCGGCAAAGACCTTGATTTATATATATTTATAGGTCTTCGAGCTTCTACTTTTATTACATGTATACCATACAAACAAACGTACGTAGCCTACGTGATATATATATATACCCACATGATGATGGTCACAGATAAGATTTAACTGGTCTACCCCAACGTTTGTGGGGTTTTCCCTTGGGGTAATTGACAACCATTATCCCACCATAGTTAATAGCTGCCTCTGTGCTAGTAATAGCAGGCTCCTCCATCTCACCATTGGGCACTTGATGAACCATCCCAAATGCATCGTACCTTCTGGGTGGAGCATAGTACTTGTCTATCAGAGCGAAGCCTTCTAAACCAATCTTCCTGAGGTCTGCTGGAGGAGGTGCCATAGATGTTGTTGAAAGGAGCAGCAAACACAATGAAACAGAATAGATCAAATGTATATAGTTGCTTTTTGGGTTTGTCAGTTTTCTTGCTTCAAGGAAAGGGACCAAAGTCTCTTTATATAGAAGGCAAAATTGGCTTCCAGTACTAGTTGAGTCAAGAATATATGATCATGGACATATGGAAAGAACCAAGGGGTGTCCATCTGGTCTGGCAACTAACGTGACTTTTAAAATATATCAATGAGTATAGTGATATTGGTTTATGTTGCTTAATTATTTTTTTATGGGGTTTAGGCTTGATTAATACACACGGAATATATTCAAATTTATCATCCAAAAAGTCGAAATTGGATAGAAAAGAATTATTCTCAAACTCGTTCATTTTAGCTTCCAAAATAATTGAGATCTCAGATTCATAAAGTGCAATTATGCGTATAACTAGTCATATTCAGCCGGCCAAGGTTTCGCTTAATTATTATGATCACCGTGAGAGATTGCGTTCATGACTCTAAGTATCTCAAATATTAAAAAGGAAAAAATAAAATTAAAACTTAGTGAATCTAATTCCCAACTTAACCTCTTTTTCACATTCTTTTCTTTTTTACTTCTTAATGACCGAATAAAGTATGTTTCTTTTTTATATTCCATGTACCATTTTTAGAAATAGCAAGGGGAAAAAATTATTTTTTTGGAAATTGGAAAAAAAATCATGACTAAGTATCCACTTAGGAGTCACTTAGCTTGTTTGGATTTGGATTTATCCACACAAAAAAAGAGCTTGTTTGGATTTGGATGGACTTTTGAAAAAATTATTTTTTATACATTATTTGTTTCAGAAAATATTTTCTTAAAAGCCAAAAAGTTATTTTATCTATAATTAATTTTATGTAAAAAGTAGTATTTGATTTTTTTAAGAGTCATGAATATGATTTTTTTAAAAAGCAGTGTTTTAGCTTTAATGGTGACTATTACTTCTATTTTCTTTCTAAGTTGGCGTCCAAATACATGTTAAATGAGAATTACTTACCGAAGTGTTTTAACAATCTGTAAACTGTGCGGGTAGAGAAGAACAAAATTCTAACAAAATAAATTACACACAAACATTGGATAGAAAAGACAATTGCCACTTTGTTGTGGAAAGAAGCTAGGAAGAAGTTGGATTGAAGTTCAGTTAGAAATGCGCAACTCATATATAAATCATAAAAATAATTTGAGAGTATAAGTGACCCAGACTTGGTGAGAAAAAATAAAATTTTGTCGTAAAATAAAATTTTGAAAGCATAAGTAACTGAAATTTGGAAAGAAAGAACAAATCTTAAAGTAAGTAAAAAAAAAAAAAAAATAAGGGTTTGGTATTTGTCATTTTAAATGATGTAAGTTATGTCATTTTAGAAGAGAGATAGACACACACAAAATTTAATAAAAAATTTATTTAGTATTTATCTCTCTTAAAATGACATAACTTTACGTCATTCAAGATGATACATACTTTTCCTAAAAAGTAATTAATAATTTAAAAAGAATAACGCAACTGTTGTTGCATAAACCGGGATTTTAGTAGTAGTGTAGTACTAGTAGGCGGCATCCTCGCTAAGTTTTGAGTAGGTGGAACCATTCTGTTTTTGTTCAACAAACATAAAGACACGTATCTTAAGGACAAAAATAGTACAATAAGAATCTACTATAAGAAAAACAGTAGAATAAGATATTATCTCACTCTCAAAAGAATAATAACTCTATTTTATTTATGGAAAAAGTATTTCTTCAGTTATCTCCGGTGAATTTAAAATGATGTCGTTTTAAGTTATAAGATTAAAAATTTATAATTATAAAGACTAATATAACTCTGCAATATATTATAATTACAAAAACACCTTGATTTCTGGCCCAAAACGACATCGTTTTGAGCTCATCGAAGATAACTTATCTCCATTGACTGGAGAGATCATTTACCCTTCATTTATATATATATATATATATATGTGATACATATTATACTTACTACTTTTTTTTACTACCTGTTACTACCGAATCTTAACCGTTGATTTTCGCCAATCTAACGGTTGTAATTTATAAGGCCATATTTATTAATTAATTATTAATTTACAAATAAATTATAACCGTTAGATTGACGAAAATCAACAGTTAAGATTTGTTAGTAACAAGTAGTAAGAAAAATAAGTAGTAAGTATAACATTTTCATATATATATATATATATATATATATATATATATATATATATATATATAAAGAAATAAGATTTTATTACCAAAAGTATGAGACAATTTCGGTCGATCAGTGTAACAAAGGCAACTCTAAATATGATTTTATTATCAAAAAATAAAGAGAATATAATTTCTCATGTTATTATCTCATGCTCTAAAGCACAGACTCATTTTTTTTAAATTTGCGTGTCGAACATCGACACGCGGTCAATATTTTGGGACACGCAGTCAACACTCCGACACTTTTTGACACGTTTTTTCTAAGACACAGTTAACTTTTTGACGCGCGGTCAAAAAATTAAATTTTTTCTGTTATGAAATTTACAAGAAAAATTAACAAGTTACGAAAAATTATTTTTGTTTACATTTATGTTATGAAATTGGAATATTTGATTGATTATATGACTTATTATAGGCTGTTATATGTATTGAATATAAATTATATTATATATATTAAAAATATTATTTAATATCAAAACGTGTTCCAACGTGTCGAAATATGATATTTTTTAGAATTAACGTGTCTGCGTGCCGTGTCGTGTCCCGTGTCAGTATCGGTGCATCATAGATATCATGTAGACACAAAAATAGATATATGACCTACTAAAAAAACAAATGTTTTAATTTTTTTTATTTATACATAAGATAATTTTATCAACCATACTTATAAAAATAAAACTGCAAACTGCAAATTAAGGCCAAGCACGCAAATGAAGAAAAGATCCCAACCTCCGACTTCCCCGAATTTGATATTGGCATTTGGCGCTTTTTAAGTCCATGATTCAAGGAGCTCCTGTAAATTGTATCCCATAATTACCACCATTTGGTCAAAAATTAAACGGATCAAAATTAGTCAACGACTATATTTCAGTTAATGATGCATGCCTAAGTTTAGGAATTAATCTGGTGGATATTACAAGCACACTCTGTTTCATAATAGGTTAATTTCCCACCTTTCATTCAAAAACACGTGTGATTTTTGGAGAAATTGTTGTGTATATATAAATAGCCACCATCACAACAGTATTGTTCAGAAGCAGAGTGGCCCAGGGCATTGAAAAAAAAACACTGCCCAGAGGGTCAACAATAATCATACAAAAAACACAAGCCAGGAGAAAAAATTTCAAAACCAAAAAAAAAAAACGAAAAAAGAGTCATAATCTTTCAGCTGTATAGGGATGGCAGCTGGATTTGATAGCAGGCAAGAGAAGAAGAAGAAGATAGCCGTTCTCGGCATCTCTTCAATCCTTCTCGTGGCTATGGTAGCTTGCGTCGCCGTTGGTATAAGAGATGGCTCCCAAGCTGGTGGTGACGAAGGGAATGACTTACAAATCGCAAAACATCAAAAGAACGTTCAAGTTATCTGCGGTTCAACTGAATACAAAGAAACATGCAAGAAAAGCCTTGAGAAAGCATCAAACGAAACCACAGACATGAAAGAGCTTATCAAAGCCGCATTCAATGCCACTGCTGAGGAACTCCTCAAGCAAATTCAGAACTCCACTCTCTACAATGAGTTGAACAAGGACGACATGACCAAACAGGCTTTGGATATTTGCAAGGAAGTCCTCGGTTATGCCGTTGATGACATTCACAAATCCGTTCACATTTTGGATAGGTTTGAACTCAGCAAGCTAACTGAATATGCCTATGACCTCAAGGTTTGGCTCACGGGTACCCTCTCCCACCAACAAACTTGCTTGGATGGCTTTGAGAACACAACCACCGATGCTGGCAAAACCATGGCTAAAGCTCTCAACACCTCTTTGGAGCTCAGCAACAATGCTATTGATATAGTTAATAGCGTGTCCAGTTTATTCAAGGGTCTTGACTTGAGCGCATTCACCACCAGCGCCAACAACAGGAAGCTTCTCTCTCTGGTGAATGGTTTCCCTTCATGGATGAGTGAAACCCAAAGAAGTCTCCTTCATGCTGCTGGCCCCAAGGGAAGCGTTAAACCCGACGTTGTTGTGGCTAAAGATGGGTCTGGCCAATTCACAACACTTACTGAAGCTCTTAAACTTGTTCCCCCAAAGAACAAAAAACCTTTTGTGATTTACGTCAAGGAAGGTGTCTACAATGAATATGTTAGCTTGACCAAGCATATGACCTACGTCACCATCATCGGAGACGGTCCCACAAAGACCAGATTCACCGGCAGCAAAAACTATAAGGATGGTGTCCAAACTTACAACACCGCAACCTTCAGTATGTACCAGATAATTTTAATTTTAATTTATTTTTTCCCTTCAAACTTTGGATATCTAATTAATGCAGATCTTAGCCAAAGTAAAACTAACTATTTTGAAGATATATTTATAGGGAGAGGTTACTCTAATAACCATATTTATAATTATTGTATCAAAATCAAATCAACATCTCTGATTTAATATTATGAGATAAATTATTTTACCTATCATTTTTTTTCTGAGCTTACCATCCTCCAACATCATTAGATCAAAATTTTAATTAACATTTATCTTTCTCTCTTCTTGATATTCTGATCTAATGATGTTGGTAGGTGATAGGCAGAAAAAATGGTAGTTAAAATAACTTATCCCTAATATTATTGTGCAAGTATAACCTCCACGTACATATTGATATTTACACTTGCATATAAAACAACAAAAAATGTTATTTATACAATATTTTAAAAACAAGGTGTTTGTTTTTCTCATTTTGCATGAGAAAACAAATCTTTCCTACACACCATAAAAAGGTGTGTCACTCATCTTTTTATTTTTTGTTTTTTTTTTAAATCGGTGGGTCTCACACTTAATGTATCTATGACATGAGATTAGAATTCTCCTACAACATAAGATCTATTTTTCCCTAAAAACAATGATAATAAATAATTGGTCTAATAATTTCTACATATATATAAAAGACTCATTACTAGGACGTGGAACTTAAAATAAGGGAATTAAGTTAATTGGCATGCAAATAAGGAAGGTGAATTATTATTATTATTAATTGGCAGGTGTGAACGCTGCTAACTTCATGGCTAAAGACGTTGGGTTCGAGAACTCAGCAGGATCAGAGAAGCACCAAGCTGTGGCACTTAGGGTAACAGCAGATAAGGCCGTGTTGTACAACTGCCACATGGATGGTTACCAAGACACACTGTACGTGCAATCACAACGCCAGTTCTACAGAGACTGTGTCATCACCGGCACCATCGACTTCGTCTTCGGTGACGCAGTTGGAGTGTTCCAGAACTGCAAGTTGATTGTGAGGAAACCATTGGCTAACCAGCAATGCATGGTGACAGCCGGTGGCAGGTCAAAAGTTGACAGCACCAGTGCACTTGTGTTCCAGAGCTGCCACTTCACCGGTGAGCCTGACGTGGCAACCTTGGAACGCAAGATCTCATATCTTGGAAGGCCATGGAGACTCTATTCCAAGGTTGTGATCATGGACTCTATGATTGATGACATTTTCCTACCACAAGGGTATATGGCATGGATGGGAAGTGCTAACAAGGACACGTGCACTTATTACGAGTACAATAATAAGGGTCCTGGTGCTAACACTGCCTCTAGAGTCACATGGCCACATGTTAAGAGCATAACTCCTCTTGAGGCTTCTGATTACTATCCAGGGAAGTTTTTTGAACTCGCTAACGCAACTCAACGTGATGCTTGGATCCTCGAATCTGGGGTACCTTACTCCCTTGGCCCCCTGATTCCCTTCCAGCCATTAATTTAAATTGACCCCACGTACAGCTTAATTGATACTCTTTTTTAAATCTAATAGTCTATGTAGCCATCCCTGCATGCATTTATATGCTCCATTCCCAAACCATTTTGACATTTTATGTCAGTTATTTAAGGAAAGTGATGCCGTGTTCTTTGTTGGTTAATTAAGTTTCTCCTTCATTTTTTATTTTATTTTTTTAATTTTATTCACCTCCTAGCTAGTTCCATTCTTATAGAATTCAAAATTACCGATTGGTTGGTTGTGAATTCTAACTTAATTTGAATCGTAGTAGTTCCGTACAAGTTGCTTTCACATATACTTTCCTTCTTCTTTTTTATACGACGATTTCAAATTCAATAATGGGAAAACATCATCAATTAAATGATGCGCCGAAGCCCAGAAACATCAAATTAATAATTATTCTATATTACCAAAATAAAATGATAGGTGAAAAAAATATAAATGTATATAATCATTTATTACAAAAAAATATACATTTATATACATGTATAATCATTACAAAAAAATCCACATTTAATACAAAAAAATATAAAGGCGTTTTATCTGTTAAATAATGATCATATGAAACAGATAAATCATCTTGTATAATATTCCAAAAAATTGAAATAATTATTGAATACGCATTCGGTAGTTTGACATGACCTGAAAGTATTTGTGCAGAATAAATTTATATAAAAGAATGTTGAATGTACAAATTTTATTTGATGTAGTATTTGTATATATAAAAAATAATTTCACGCTTGTATATACATTATTCATATAATTGACATTTCATATGAATGTTATCATAATCGAATTAATTTATTACATGCATGAGGTGTTAATAAACGATTAGATTAAATTATATTATTGAAAAAATATTTAAGCATTAAAATTGAAATCATATCAAAAACTAATAATTTCCTTCAATACACTTTCTCCATATAATTTTATTTTCATTAGACAAAATGAGTTATGGACCTAAGTATTTGTAATTATTCGATGCTAAATTATGGATATTGAGTTTTTATTTTATCAAACAACGTAACGAAATAAGGTTTTGAAATCAATTTGTGCTTCAACTATAAACACTCAATGAGCTAGGTGAGCTAGGTTATATATATATATATATATATGTGTGTATATATTTAATGTAAAAGAGAGATTGCTTAATATTAGAATATTGGGACAGCATTAGCTAAGGTCATCAACATTAGTCAAATATGACAAATGTTTATTACACAATTTTTTAGGCCTTCTTGTTTACGAGGGAAAAATAGAGTTGAAATTTCTGTTTTCCTATTTTAATATCTAAAAAGAAATTAATGTACAAATAATATTGTAACTGAAAATATATAAGCTACATCGGAGCATGTTAGTCAAGATCGTAATTGAATAAATATACAACATACATGGGTTATGAATTTTTTTTATTTCTCTTAATTGATTAATTATCCGACTAATTCGATTAAAATCGGATAGTGCTATAGGGGGCGTTTGGTTGAGGAGAAATTTTATGAATAATAGGAAAATGTTATTCATAGGGAAATGGTTGGAGGATTATGTTTGAAAGGAAAATGTAAAAAAAGTTGTTTGGTTGAAAAAAAAATTAAACAGACAAATTATGTAACTTTTATGAAGTCTATGTTTGGGTGTAGGAAAAATATAGATGGGATAAAAAGATGTTATTACGAAAATAACCTTGGTTTTAAAAAATTAATCATTCAGGTGGTGTTTGGTTGGGAGCTTTTCAGCGGATATCTATCTTTCTCAAGTATGGCTTTTAGAAATACCATGTTTGTTTCAACGTTTTTCACCAAAAATCCATCTATCCAATTTGTCTGGATTTATGAGAAACATAGATATCCGCACTGTTTAGAAACCCAATTTGAAGGTGGGATTTTTCGGAAAACCGGTTATCTGGCTTTTAATGCAATGTTGATTTCATAAAGTTACCTAATTTTCCCAGTAAAGTTTTTCCCCACCAAACAACTTTTTTTTACATTTTTTTACCTATCTCACTTTATCTATCTTTCCAATCATTTCTCTATCTATCTCATTTCCCTACTATTCCAAAAAAATTTCCTGAATCAAACGCCCCCTCAAGGTGCTTCTCGATTTCCAACACTCTGCTCCAACCAAAAGACATGCAGAGGGTACGCTCGTAATATGGATTTTAGATGCAGTGACCATTTACATAGATAAAGCACAATACCACATCTCGAGTGGGTAAATTTGGCCTGCTATTTCCATCCAAAAGACATGCAAAATTCAGTTGTTGGGATAATGATTAGCATAGGCAAATATGGAAGCCTTTCAACCAAACATGGTCATCTAACAAACTCACTTCTAATTTGCCTATCTATCTCATCATTATCCTCAAACCAAACACACTCATAAGGATGGCAAAAAATTTCTATCAAATTTTAATACAATTATGTCTGAGTTTTGAACTAATAATTGGAGACCACTAATTATTTTGAAATAATTAGTTAATACATATATTAATTTGATTGAGTATATTGGACAATGTTATCAAACCCAGCCCCTCATTGATCGATTCTGAGTTATTGGCTCAACCAGTGAGGTCCGATTACCTGAATATTTATATGTAAATTTATATTTTATATTAAAAATCCATAAACATGTTCAAAATAATAAATCACATGTTATTGTGAATTTACAAATTTATAAAGTTTGCTATTTTGTGCAGTAATGTTGAAGAAAACCAGGTCGCAAGATTGTGATTTATAGTTTTAGGAAGGAAATTAGAGAGAACATGACTTGAATTTGTATGTTAGATTTTTTTAATAATAGGATTTTGAAGATAGTAGCTGGTGGAGAAATATTTGCTATTTGCAAAAGAGAATGTTTTTCATATCAGTGTCATTTATGTATAAAAGTATCCTTTTTCTGTAAACTAGGTCATTTTATACCTTAAAACCTAATAATGAGTTTTTAATTTAATGATTGGAAAAAATATTTGTCCTTTTAAATGATATAACTTTTTGTCATTTTAAATTCTAACCGTTGTTTTTTGTCAATCAACAGTTATAATTTATTGCAAATTACTAATTTATTATATAATTATAGCTTAATGATTAATAAGCTATCAGGGAAAACAAAATCAATTAATAACCTCATAAATCCATAGAAGCAGCTAAGGTCTTCACCTTTTTTCAACTAAATCATCCTCTCTCTCTCTTTTTTATAACATAAATCATCCTTTAGTGACAACCACTCAACCTTCATCATTAAATGCGTACAATTACACTAAAAATTGAATAAAAAAATATGCAATTATAGAGGAGAGAGAGAGACAAGCAGCTATTTTGAAGGGGAGAAATACATAGTTTTAAAGAAAAAAATTACGCAATTATAGTGTTCATCAGATCCAAGCTTCCTCATATGTTCAGTTGCCTACAAAAATAAGAGAATAAACACCATTTGCGTAGTTGGATTATCCGTGATTTTAATCTTTATTGAAACTGTCTTGTTTCAAAATTAATTGTAGGTGCAGCAAAGAGTATAAAAATCTAATAGGAGATGGAGGGTCTTAGACAATCGCAAGATTGATTTGAAAAGCGGTGCTATTGTTGCAGTCAATTAAGAGGTTGTGAAGTCAAAAATCCAAGGATTTAGGCTCTGTTTGATTTGTAAAAAAAGTTTTAAAAATTATAACTGTTTTTTTGTTTTTAGAATCAAATTTAGAGAACATGTCTGAGTTATTTTTGTTTTCTGTTTTGGTTTTTAACTTTCAAAATAAAAAAAAAAACATAAAAAACAATTGTTTTCATAATTATTCTACAAAACAGTTTTAAGAACAAAAAAACCAAAACACAATCAAATAGACTCTTAGTTTCGCATGATGGCCATGATTTCTCTTCTAATTTTTTAATGAATATGTATGACCTGTCTGATTTTTTTTTTTAAATCGGCCGGTTATTTATTTTCATCAAAACCAGCCGAGTTGAACTAGTTCATATCGGTTCTATTACTTGTCTGATTTATTCAAAAACTCATACTAATTATATGATCGATTCCTGACCTAGTTGGGTCGATCCAGTTTTTTCAACACTAAAATTTGGTTTTAAATTGAAGTTGCTCTAAACCCCTTCTAACGTTAAAATTGCTTTATAAAATTAGACAAAGCAAGCCCAATTTCACTTATGATCGACATGCTAGAAGGAATTCAGTAATCATTCATTCGTCATCAATTTATTATTATTATTATTAGTGTTAAGGTTTAATATTTCTTATTTTATTGGGAAATTTTTTTTTTTGATCATATTCATATAAAAATGTGTAAATCTTATTATATCTTATAACATTAACTTTTTTTTCACTCTTCTCATTATAATGGAACATATACACTTTTACATGAATATGACAAAAAAAAAATTTCTCCAACAAAATCAAAAATATTTTTCAATTTTTATTAATATGTTCCATCACATTATAATTATAATGTTTATGTAATAGTCCTAGACCCACGACGAAGATATACTTACACATAAATAGCAAAGCGTGTGGGAAACACATGTTGCGTGGCGTTTGGTTTAGTGTAAGTAACGCCCTCTGGATTGGTGTGTGTCCATTATTCAAACCCGCATCATTTTCTTACCCTACCGCATCATTAATCTGTCGTTGCAAGTTGTAAAGTTATAACAGTAGAAAGCGTGTAGAAAATAGATCAATAAAAACAAGTAAAATGGAAAAACGAGATCTTGATGTTGAAGTTAAGAGGTACAGACTTCGCCCATTGGTACACGGATTAATCTCTGCTTGTGTTGGTGCCTCCTGCCTCATTAACATCTAATCATTAGTTACAGTCAGTAAAGTAACATTTGACGATGTCAACAATCCTATCACAAAGCAAAGGAATTTTTTTAAAAACTATGACGCGAGAAGAATATCAAAATTGGGTTTTCTTAAAGATAGGTGGCAAAATTTAATTCCCGGATTGTCCAAAGCAAATTGAAGAAATGGTCAAACTCTGGTTTTAATTATTTATTTGATTACTTTGAATCTGAAGTTAACTTTTGTATCTTCCACTCTGGCTGTCAATAAAAAGCTAACACATAATCTTAAAAGGAATTTGTTAAAGGACATTTTGCTAGGTCCAAGTGACCGATGTGTCAAGCCCTCCTTTCTCTAGGGCTGATATGAACCGACATTTCCCTCGCAATCCACGTAAAACGGTAAAAGGGCCGCTTCCGGAACAGATCATACCACCATTAATTTATGGAAAAATTATTTCTCTTTTTAAAAGATATACTTTAAGTTTTTCAAGAAAAATATAAATATAAAAAGATAAGACTCACGTTTTTTTTTTTTAATCGGATTCAGATTTTTCTATATCTATTTCTACCTTAAAATAATCTAAGTTTATGTTCTTTAAAATGACACATATGTTTTTCTTAATTTATTAGCAAAATAAAGTTTATAGATATTTTAGGAGTAGGAAATATTTTCCATTGTTCTGGTAACTCTTAACAATATGTTACCCTTTGAAGAATTTAGAAAAGCCCAATTAATCCTTTAAAAAAAACGAAGATATTTGTTACTCCAGGCAAAAAATCTATAAAACAGTATTCCAAGCAAATCAAGGTTTGTCCTAGCTGTTAGGGCATCCAAAATATAGTAATCATGACAAATTAATGACAAATATATTTGTAGCGCATGTACCTAATTCTTAACATAAATCTAAAATATCTTTGGTAGTATTGTTATATTTGAGTACTCGGTACGATTTATATTCAAAATAAATTATAAATTACGTATTTTAAAAAATATATAATTATAATATTAAAAAAAATCTTCAAAAAATATACCAACTAATATGTTACGCTCCTATTAATGAAATGTACATGTCACGGTAATATATTAGATTTTTTGGTAACGCACAGCATACTTGGATAATTTGGAAGTTACGAAGATTAGGTAATCACAATTCTTTAAGGGGGTGTTTGGTTTAAGTTTTTGGAGAGGATTACCGATAATTCTTCTTTGGTAAATGTAATTACCACGTTTGGTAGAAGGAATAAATTACGATTCCCGGATATCCAAGGATTACCGGTAATTTGATTTATAAAGAAAAGTCATAATTCAGATTACCAAAAATAATATGGTAATTCGGAATACCAATTAGAATACCAAGTAAAGGGAAAGCACAACAATAAATTTTGAGACAAAAATACCCCAATACACATAAAAATCTAGACCCAATCTATCAATTACAAAAGTAAAAATAGTTTGGGGTTATTTTTGTAAAATAACCTCATATTCCAAGTCATATTTCATTTTAAACCAAATATGGAATCAGTAATTTTTACCCAATATTCCCGGTAATATTTTGGCGAACCAAACACATCTTTCGTAAGTTTCCAAGTAAACTCAATTTCTACTGAATTCCCATTAATCATGATTTCCGGTCACCAAAAAATTTCTCCTGTACCAAACACACCTAAGGTTATTTTTCGAGAGTTTCGAGATGGGAGTTGTATACCGTACAAGATCCTTTGGGTCAAGATTCGGTCTGTCATCCCCGAGTCAATCCAACCATTTGAGTCGTAAACCAATCCATGGAGTACTTTATATATATATATATATATATATATATATGAGGTAGGATTATTTGACGCTAGTGTCAAATTTGAAGTTTGACACATCATCTAAGAGTCGTTAGATCAAAAAAGATCAACAACTCTGATTTGCAAACATGTGACACCATTGATCTTTTTTAATCTAACGGCTATCAGATTAGGTGTCAAATTTAAAATTTGACACTGATGTCAAAAGATCCTACCTCATATATATATATATCTATATATATATAGAGAGAGAGAGACAGGATCCTTTGATATCGGTGTCAAATTTAAAGTTTGACACCTCATCGAAGAGTCGTTAGATCAAAAAAGATCAACTGAATCCTTTGATATCGGTGTCAAATTTAAAGTTTGATACCTCATCTAAAAGTCGTTAGATCAAAAAAGATCAACGACTCTAATTTGTAAGCAGTTGACACCATTGATCTTTTTTTATCCAACATTTCTATAAGGGTAAACATTTCTACAGCCACTTTAGATAAGGTTATCTACAGCTACCCAAAAACTGTGTCGTTTTGATTAATAAAAGGTGTTTCTGTAATTTTAGGTAAATTAATGAAGGGTGTTTTCGTATTTTTTATTTTTTATTTTTTATCATATGCATTTTACCAAAACACCCTTCATTAATTCACCTAAAATTACATAAACACCCTTCATTAATCAAAACGACATAGTTTTTGGGTAGCTGTAAATAACCTTATCTAAAGTGGATGTAGAAATATTTTTTCCATATATATATATATATAGAGGTAGGATCCTTTGACACCGGTGTCAAATTTGAATTTTGACATATTATCTGAGAGTCATTATTAGATCAAAAAAGATCAACGACTCTGATTTGTAAGCGTGTGACACCATTGATTTTTTTGATCTAACGGCTCTCAGATGAGGTGTTAAACTTTACATTTGATACCGGTGTCAAAGGATCCTGCCTCTATATATATATAGAGAGGCAGGATCTTTTGACACCGGTGTCAAATTTGAAATTTAACACCTCATCTGAGAGCCGTCAGATGAAAACATTTGCAGTTTGTTAAATTGTCCATATTTATTATTAATGGTATCTGTCCAAAAGACCAAAACATTAGCTTGGACATCAAATTTAGGGCATTCTCTTAAACCACACTGTCTTGCCACAGAACTATTAGCAATACCATTCCTTCTCTGGCTGCCTAATATCACTTACCAGAAGCAAGTTATAGCATATAGTTTAGCCAATACGCGCCAATTGTTTACCCCCGTTGATTCACTCAATTAATTAAAAGGCCAAATTTACAGTTTGTTAAATTGTCCATATTTATTATTATTCAACGCCAAGTACAGAAAATAGATATATACATATCTAACAGTTATAAATACAGTCTTTAGGAAACCTGTAAGAAAGAAAAAACAAGTGATAGAAGAAAAAAGAATATCTGTCTTATATTAATTAAGTAGCAAGGCCAACGAGGGATGACCACTAACTCACTGAGTCTCCTCGCTATGCATCTAACTCGGCCATGGAGCTGCACCCAACGACACAATTCGAAGACGGAGAAACTCTTGCTTTCCTCTCTCTGCTGAGAATTCTCTTAAACGACAGCATGCGACTCATCGGCGACCGTGACGACGACTGCGACTCATCCCCGAAGCCAGTAGAGGATGACGAAGAAGAAACTGCCGGTCCAGTCCGGTTCGGCTCTTCCCCTTCGTACTGGCAACACCCAGAACTCGAACCCGATTCCGGTTCACACACAGTGACAGTTACTTCGGGTCGGGTCTCGGGCGGGGGCTTCACGGGTGCCCTGCAAAGTGGACAGGTGGAGTGAGACTGGAACCACATGTCGATGCAGTCAATATGGAAGCTGTGGTTGCATCGGGGCAGGACCCGACCCGTTTCCCCATCCTTGAACTCCGACAAGCAAACCGCGCATTCCACCGCCTCCGTGTGGGTCTTGGTGGAGAAGGCGAAGACGGGGAGGGAGGAGATTACGGAGGCATCGAGGCCGCGGGAGGTCAGCATAAGGGTGGCGGGGTTCACGAAGAAGACGAACTGCGGGCCACGGCGGCGGCTGTGGCTGTGGCTGAGGCGGGGGCGGTTGAGGAGTTGACGGCGGCGAGCACGTACGAGGTACCAGCGGATATAGACGTGAAGGCAAAGCATTATGATGATAACTATGAAGAGAATGACAATGGCGATTAACATGATCTTACCACTGAGTGCATCGTTTCGGGTTTCCTTGGGCTTGCCAACGTTGTCCATATTCGATTTTAGCTCTGAGTGTAGAGAGAGGGAGAGAGAGAAAGAAATAATGTTTGTTTGAAGTGGGAACTATTAGTATTAAGGTTTCTGAGTAAGATTCAGTTAGGTTTTAATGTTTATTTATTTGCTTTTGCTGCTGTTACTGTTTTCTTTTTTCTTTTTTTGATACAACTGTCCTTCAGTTTGCTATTGACGCGGTTTTATGTAAATGACCAAATTGCCCCTTTCTCTCAAATTATGAAATATGCAATAGTGTTTGTTTTGTAGTTTTACTGAGTGAGAAGTATTTCTTTAGTCACGGAGATAAAGTTGTTTTTAGTAAATTTAAAATGACGTTATTTTGAATTATAAAATTGAAAAATATAGTGATAAATATTAATATAATCCTGCAATATATTAGAATTACAAAAATACATTAATTTTCGTTCAAAACGACATTGTTTTGAGTTCACGGGAGATAAAATTTATTTCCATTGAATCAAGAAATCATTTACCCTTTTATCTATTTATTTATTTTGGTACACTTTTGTTTTCTGTAATTTTCGTGTTGAAGTATTTGGGAAATTGTGTTGTTGTTTCGTCCCACTGTGTATTAGTATTAAAAATGTTGAACACAGCAGATATTTACTTGTATGAAACGCATTGGTCAGTATATGGTTTCTTATCACAAATGATATCCCAGTTTATACGTTTACAGCTAAATGCATTCACTGGGCTTCCACGCTGACCAGCTTCTTGGACTGAAAAATATCTCAAATCACAACCCATTCGCCTTTTCTTCTTCAGTGAGATTGTCGTGTTTGAAACTGTTTCCTTTTGTTCAAACATTTTAACGCAAAGCTCCTTTCCCAAGTTTTTTATATTTTATTTTTTAATATCCTTTTGGCTTAAACACACCAAGATGAGAGATTATCTCAATGTAAACATGTATCAATTGGTGAGAGGTTCTTCTAGCTTGATTGAAAGAAATGTATTTTATAATTTAATCGGCTCGAATACCACTAGTCAAATAATCGACTAATCGATGAAAAAAGTATTAAAAAAAAAAAAAAAAAAACACGGACCACAGTTCAAACTAATAAGTAAAGCCTTTGAATAACTTATAAAATATCAATAAATTTTTACATAAACTCATAATATATCCAAGTTAGGTACGACAAATAAATAAAGTATTAATATATTATTTATTAATAATGAATTACCATATTTAGTCAATTATTAACCATCATTATTAATTATGAGTTAATACTTTAAAGTATCAAATATTTTTAAGCATTAAATGCATTTAGATATTTTTCTGAAACTTATAGGAATCTAAATAAGAATTAAATACAAAATAAAAGTATTTAATTTCTTAAAAACTTATAAAGCATTTACTACTCTTTTTAAGCAATTGTGACAACTAAATAAAATTGACACGCAATTATAAAATTGATCTTCTTTTTGGCTTTATAAAAAACAAACAAAATAAAACTTATTTTATACAAGTAAATAACCGTGAAACATAAATTTATTTATTTCTTTGATATAATCTGGAGGTATCCTCGTTCGAGAAGATAAGCATGCTCTGATCCCTAAAGATTTTTTAAAAATTTGTTTGAAATTTGATTAGAACTTCTGACCCAAATAACTCTTCAAAATTCAGTTGACAACTGGGGGGTTTTATATTTACTTGGAGCGCGGCCTAGCAAAGACCAAAACTCATTAATAATTAATCAAGCCGCTAATAAGAATAGAACCTTTTCTTTTAACTTTGTTAAAAGCTTAACATCTAAAAGAGTAGTCCATCTCTTAACGGAATGGTATGGCTACTCTGGACTCAAAAGTGTCAAAACAGAGGTCGCACCTTGGAATTAGGCCCATTATTGGAGCCTTAACCCATTTAACCCCGGTTTCTTTTCTTTATTAAGTGAATTGAAGGGAAGAGTGACCATTTTGCCACACTTGGCAAAAAAATTTACCAGACTGACACGGCAACAGTAAATTTTGTCAAAATGCCACGCTGCACCCTTAGCCGTCGTTGAAAAAGTCTGAAAATATAACTAATTCGCATTATCTTATCTTAACTCTTAATTATTTTCAGACTTCTTCAACGACGGCTAAGGGTGCAGCGTGGCATTTTGGCAAAATTTACTGTTGGCGTGGCAGTCTGGTAAATTTTTTTGCCAAATGTGACAAAATGGTCACTCTTCCTGAATTGAAGTTCATTAAAGAAAAAAAAGTCACGTTTTAACAGAAAAAGCATTCGTACAAAGCAACTACGGGTCCACGGCTTGTTTGATTTCAGTTCTTAAAAACAGTTTTTAATTTTCAGAATAAAAGAAGAATTATAAATGTTATGTTACTGGAAAAATTAAAACCATTCCTGCACTAATAAAAACTTGTGGATCCTATTAATAAAAAAAATGAAAAAACAAGATAAAACAATCACCACAATCGATGTATCAGCAGGAAAGATATTGCTTTTTGCTGCAACAAGATAAAAACAACGCTCATAAAAAAATTAGTTCGGTAATACTTATTTTATAAAAATAGTTCTAAAAATTACAATTATTTTTTAGTTTTTAGAATCAAATTTAGAGAATATGTCTGAGTGATTTTTATTTTGTGTTTTGACTTTTTTTTTGTAGAAAAAAAAAACACAGAAAATACTTATTTCATTAACTATTCTATAAAATAATTTTGAGAAAAAAAAAAATAGAACAGAATCAAATAGATCTTAAATTTGTCGCTTATTATAATGAGTTCAAATTCATTGATGCTGAAAAAACTTAAAACTTACTAGTCAAACAACAAGCTTAAGTACTCAAAAATAAGATTACCAAAAAAAAAAAAAAATACTCAAAAATAATAATTACAGTTATAAAATTATAAAATGGCTTTTATAAATTAATTTTTAAAAAAATATGAAGCGTCAAGTACAGTAATTTTGTGGTCTGATTAGGAAATATCCTCTTCTTATTTTAACATAACCATACCATTTTCTATCTCTGTTTTAGAAACGGTTGATATGAGAATAAATGGCTGAAAATTTTGACGTAATGATTCATATCCGATGTTAACCATATGAAGAATCTTGTAATTACAAAAAATAAAAATAAAAATGAAGAATCTTGCAAAAACAAAACAGAGTGTTATGAGTACCACTAAAGTTCATGTTTTATTGTCTTATGGATCAATCCTTGGACTGTCACTGAAAGGGAACATCGACCAAAATATTATTATTCATCAAGTTTTTTACCTAAATGTCACGCAAACAGTATTATTTTTCAATCTGCCACGAGGTCAAGTTCGCTATCCGGTGTAGCGAACTCGGTTTGCTGACGTGTCACATTTCTAGTAGATAACAAGTACCAAGTTAAAAAAAAAAAAAAAGTTTGAAGTTCGCTACATTGACGTGACACATCAGCAAACCGAGTTCGCTACACCGGGTAGCGAACTTGCCCCCGTGGCAAATTGAAAAATAACACTGTTCGCGTGACATTTAGGTAAAAAACTTGGTAAAGAGCGACATTTTGGTCACTGTTCCCACTAAAGGCCATGCTTTATTAAATGCTTTATTAACGTAAGATAAAATAATAAGCCAACCCATACTTATTATTAAATGCTTAACATCCAATTTCTTAAAATGTTTCCGTATCACCAATTATGGCATGACATAACCAACCACCTAACTTATAGGATTCATCACACACTGCACTACCTATTAATGGTTTAACTCAGAGAAACCAGATCGTATATAAATTGTCAAGAACACTTCATTCATTTTGATAGGTAGAGGCCAACCTCCAACCTTATCAGAGATTGCATATGTGAAACTCATCTTCACACCATAGAACAGAGAATATTAGTTTACTTGTGGCTCGTTTGCAACACATTCGTATAAAATCAAGAATGCGGTTTTTTCACCTATTGACTGAGCTCCAAACTCTTCTCAAAACAATAATATCAAACAGATTTTTTTTCTTTTTTTTCTTTTTTATTATGAAAAACAGTTTGTATTAATTATTTAAAAAAAAGTTCTTAACAAAAAATAAATAAAAACAAAAAAAACGTACTCAACTCAAACAGGCCCACTTTTGATCTTTCTCAAATTCAATTCTGATCGTGACTGAACTCCGAACTCGAGAGGCACTTCACATGGCCAACAAAACAAGATGGAAACATGATTCACGTAGTAACAGCAATAATCAGATTCAGATATTTTTATATAAAGTCAAGGAAACGAAGCAAAGCAAAGAATAAAGCAAAGAAACACCCTCCTCTTATTTTTCTCCCTCTTATCTTTTTGTTCGGTAAAGTAACGAGGGAATAGTTCTATCACTCATCAAACGTTTTCCCATATGATCTAACTCATAGTCTCACACAAATACTCCATCAATTAGAGAGAGTTAACACTACAGAGAGACATGGACGAGGTAGAGCACCGAATAATGAGCGTCAATGGCATAAACATGCACATAGCTGAGAAGGGTCAAGGCCCATTGATCCTCTTCATCCATGGCTTCCCCGACCTATGGTACTCATGGCGCCACCAGATCACAGCTCTTGCTTCCCTTGGTTACCGCTGTGTGGCGCCGGACCTCCGTGGCTTCGGTGACACCACCGTGCCGGCCACACCCACCTCATACACGAGCCTCCATGTCGTCGGTGACCTCATCGGGCTGCTAGACGCCATAGCCAACGACCAAGAGAAGGTGTTTGTGGTGGGTCATGACTGGGGAGCCCTAACTGCTTGGTATCTTTCCCTCTATCGACCAGATAGAATCAAAGCTATGGTTAACTTGAGCGTGGCTTTCAGTCCAAGAAACCCAAAAAGAAAGCCCCTTGAGACCTTAAGAGCAGTGTATGGAAATGACTACTATATCTGCAGGTTTCAGGTTTGGTTCTAACTGTCTATTTAAAAAGTAATTGCTGTTGATGTGGACATGTATGATATAGCAACATATTTTAATGGTTTCTTTAGTGCTTGTGTGTGTGTGTGTGTGTACATATTTTAATGGTTTCTTTAGTGCTTGTGTGTGTGTCTGTTATTGAGGTGAAGAAAATGTTTGGTTACAGGAGCCTGGAGATATAGAAGCTGAGTTTGCAGAGATTGGGACTGAAAGAGTACTGAAGGAATTCCTCACATACCGCAACCCGGGTCCACTTTATCTACCTAAGGGTAAAGGGTTTGGACATCCAACTGATTCTCCCATAGTCTTGCCCTCATGGCTATCAGAAGAAGAATGCAACTACTATGCCAGCAAATATGACAAGACTGGCTTCACAGGGGGATTGAACTACTATAGAAATTTGGATCTGTATGTTTATCTTCAGCTCCTACCCATTACCCAATATATGCTATACTGTTTAACAAATGAATATTTCACAGCTTACCTGAATTAAGTATCAGTATCCATGAAAATAAAAATAAAAATGTATGGGTATGAAAGGATAGCTTGAACATTCACGTATCACACAATCCACGAGCGTTTCCTTTTATTAATTTATGGACTAGTAAATTACATTGATTTGTTTGGAGATTCGTAAAACCTACTGAAGCACCCATTTCAGGTTTGGATATGACCTTATCATTAATCCAGTTTTACTGGCTTATAATGTTAATTTTTTTGGGGGAAATCTTTGAGCAGAGAGGCTGTTTGTGTTTGAAAAAATATATATATTTGACACCCAAGATATTTGTATTATGAAATTCAAAATCAGGAAATTCATCATTCTTTACTCCAAATGTTATGTGTTGGTTGGTGCAAGCAACGATTTTGTGGTTTATACTCTCACCTTTTCCCTTCTGAACAAAACTAAATTACTTTATTGCTTCCCTTGCATTTGCAGAAATTGGGAGCTCACTGCTCCCTGGACAGGTGCTCAAGTCAAAGTTCCAGTTAAGTTTATTGTGGGCGATCTTGACCTGACCTATAATGCACCCGGTGCAAAGGATTACATTCACAAAGGAGGATTCAAGAAAGATGTGCCGCTTCTGGAGGATGTGGTTGTGATTGAAGGGGCAGGGCATTTCGTCCATCAAGAAAGGGCTGATGAGATCAACAAGCACATCTACGATTTCTTTCAAAATGTCATTTGAGAGAGCCGAGAAAGCTTATTGGATTAAGGGGTGAAAAAAATGAAACATCTTGCAGACCTATAATAAAGGCAGATTTATCTAATATCCCTTTTCCCCAGTAGTGAACATAGTAATTGAAGACGTTTGCATCTTAACCTTCATGGTAACATATAAGAAAGGTTTTCAGATGATCAAACCTTTTGTATGCAGGTGTTGTTTCCATAACAGAGATAAGTACTGTTACTTCCATACTGTTTCGTTTTTACCGTAATGTTATATTTGCCATCATCATAATTCAAGTGGCCTCGTAACCAAATTTTAAACAAATCCTTGTGCTCCATCATAATCATTGTTTTCCTCAATAAATAGTTATCACCATTTTCATGTGTAACGAGTCTAAAACAGCACTTCCACCGAGATCCAGAGTACTTATTCAATGACCATAAATAGAAAACAACCTGATAAGAGGCATATACACCTTGAACTTAACTACAAATAAGATTGTTTTTTATGGTGTGCCCCACTTTGTTTCTCCTTGGCAAGAGATCCCCTGCCGCAGAATTAAAGTACTCTAGTGGGTAATAACAAGAGCATATCAACAAGAACTTCCGGGACGTTTTCTTTTTTCAACATTAAACTGTACGTCCACAAGGCCTGTAATACCCGCAGTAATTGTTTGACCTTCTTTCACAGGACCAACACCTGGAGGAGTGCCTACAAATCATCATAATTTATGTTAGCTGGGCAGGGGTCTCAAAGATTTCCCTATTTAATGCGTCTACTCTCGTAATGCATTACTATTAATATTGGTTTATATTTGGTTTTTATATATATATATATAAAAGATCACATTACACCAATATAAATTATATTCTCAATCTTGATAATTGATCTCACCCGTATCTAATAAGTTTTAATTTATTAATTATGTGAACAAGTTTTAATTTATTAATTATGTGAACCATTAGATATCGGTGAATCAATGGCAAAAAAATGGGATAAGGCTTCTTAATCTTCCATCAATATAAGTTGATTATGTCTAATATATATATAACCTATGAGCTAATGAATCAAAGATGTAATAACTCAAACTCAAATCATTTATAAACGAATCAAAATTTTCAGCTCTTTGAATTGATGATGAACTAAGCTACGAGCAGGTTCACAAGCTGAATTGATTTACTTCTATCTGCATCCAAGGTTATCAAAGCACAATCGTGAATCGTGAAGCTAATTTTTATATTGTAAATAATAAATCGTATCCAATGAAAAATAGGATGAAATATATTATATAAATGGCGTATAATGCTCAATGCAATAATTTTAGACTAATAATAGACAAAACAACTTAATCATGAGTCTCACAAAACACAATCATAAAAGTCATAACTGAGTCACATAAAGTAATTGTACGACGCCAATGTTTAGAACAACGGAAAAAAGAGCAATGACATGGCCAAATAAGGTGTATATAGAAGAGCAATGAAATAACAAAATAGGATGCAAAGAGTGAGTGATTGTGTAAAACTCATATTTCAGAAGAACAAATACTCCTAATGGAATAATCAAATAGGATGCATTCAATACCACCCTTCAATTCCTTTTCATTTAACAATTTAAGTTTATTTGACTTTTCAATTTTTTATGAGAATTGATGAAAGAAAAGAAAAAAGAAAAAAGAAAAAAATAAATCTTTTGAATCATGTGATTCATATCAGTAATACAAAATCACACTGATTCATGCACGTATTACATTATTCAAAGCCATCTCCAATTCATCACATGATAAGAATTGTTGGCGTGCTGAAACATGAATCGTGGGATTCTAACAACCTATCCACAAGCATGACCTTGTAACAAATAAAGTGATCCGGGCTTAACACCGATACAGGCAGCAACCTTTTCATTGTTATTGAATTTTTCTTTTCTAAGAAACAAACCCTTAACTCCTTCAGAAGAATGTTATTTTAAAGAAAATAGTTTTAGGGAGAATGGAAGTTGCATATGACCTACCAATAAATGTCCACCAACAGGAATGGAACCCCAGACATTTTTTTATCAAGGGTGCTTGATCCTATCAGTTGAGACTTCAGCCAACCCTCGTTGGCCCAAAGCATAGTTTAAACAGCAAATAACATACCAAGATTATTAAAGACATTTTTTCATCAGGTAAAATATGGCACAAATATAAATATGCAGATGAAGTAAATGCAATACCAGTTAGTATGACATCTCCTTCAAACAATGTCATGACAGAACTTATGTGGCTAATTAGAAACGGGATCTTAAAGATCATGTCCTTGGTTGATCCCTTCTGCCGAATTTCCTCATCTACCTACATAAAAGCAAATCCATTTCTCTGCAATCAGTTTAAATTTCCAATGCATGAATAAAGTAACGCACAATTAATAATATTAGAACCAAATGATAAAGAGAGGAGTATAAAATATCTCAAACCTTTATCCATAATTCTAGATCATCAGGGCTGGGCACTGTAGTCTTGGACAACTGCATAAAAAAAAAAAAATAGTACACTTGAAGAATATGGCCTGTAAGTAGATGAGCAAATAATGTGTATGGGTGACGGTGGCTCCATGAATGTTAAATTTCACCTAGATGAAGAATTTATATAATCGAACAGAAGCCCTAAAGTACTATACGCATAGGAAGCTAGTACAAGTTCTTTTATTGCAATAGCCCAACATTACAAATTTACAAGCAAGTAATACATTACTCCCAGATCACATTTGCCGGGGTACTGTAAATGTAAGTAGATTAAAGGCTATCAATGGCTGAAGTTTGTATTATCATCATCTGTAGTTCTTGACTCTTTAATACTATCTAAGATAAGTGAACTCATTTCTCTAATATTGCATTTATAAAATAGTTTCAGCATACAATAAGCTTCATGCATACAATTTCTTACAATAGAACTGATTGGTGTGAAAGTGTCCTGGCCTTTTGCTAAAGTCCATGGAAGACCTGCAGACTAACAGTAAAAGGGAAAAATGGAACCACATCAATTATTAGATTTATGAATGTATCAAGTCTACATTGCACATATAAAGTTATTCAAGCAGAAAAAAATTTAAACATGTCAATAGCAAAAGGGAATTAACACACAAATCATTTCATCCTTCTTTAAATCCCAGAAGAGTGAGTCCAATTTGGAGGGTTCTTTTTGGGAAATATTTTCTGTATATTTTGGTGTTAGGTGAAAATAATTTTCAAAAAACAGTTTTCATTGTTGGTGCACTTTCCACAAAAGCATTTTCCTATGTTGTGTAACAGTCAAAGGAAAATAATTTCCTTGTTAATTGCCATTACACATTAAATGAGGGTAAAACGGCTTCTTTTAAGAAGGGGATTCATTTCCCTGAACAAATGCACTATTCTGTATAATAATTGTTTCTAGTGAAATTAATTTTCCTGAAGCTATTTTCTGGCAAAAGAAATATTCCCACTATCATGTTATTTTCCGTTTAAAAAAGGGACCCTAATCATGTGAATTCTTTACTCTAACTTAGCATTGGATCTGTGTCAAGCCAATTTTATATTATAGAAGTTGAAAAACCTCTTCCCAGCTTATATTATCTAAAACCTTGCCCACATGCTTCTGAGTTCATCATTGAGACATACAACTCAATAGATGAAGAAACTAACTATTTGTGCTTCAATAAGTAATTGAGCACAAATTCCTAAAAGTTACCTTAGCAGCAGCTTGAAGGTCCCTGGCAGTCATATCCAGTGCCAGTGCATAACCTGACATATCAAAATACATCTTTACTTGTTCATTGTCATAATATTAATAGCATATAGCTTTCTTACATATATAGAGAGAAAGAGTAACCTCAAACTCAGCATAACAATAATATATATTCAATCAACTGAAATGAGAACAACTTAAAGTAAAATAACAAATCCCACTTGATTAATGAATCATCATAAGGCACAAGCTACAAACACATAAACACCAAGCAAAATTCACAAGAGAAACGAAACAACCGTAAGATCAATACCGGCAACGTAATCCATAGCAGAGCATTCCGGGACATCACGAGCTTTCTTGCCGATGACAACAGCCAGCTCGACCTCATGATGCAGAGAACCCTCGTTGTGCGGGATTTGGATGGTTCCACCATTTTCCAAGTAAGACGACGTCGGTTTAAGAAACAAGACTGGTTCCTGAAAAAACAACTCGATGATTCTCACATCAGAATATACCGATCCGTGAAAGATTGGGGATTTTATGGAAGTAAGATACCAAAATTGTGAATTTGGAAAATAAAGAGTGAGAGAGAGATACCTTGGGAACGGCGTTGCCTAGTTCTTTAGCGTGAGCAACGTAGTTTCTGCCAACGCCAACGATCTTAGTGCTCAATTCCAGAAGCTTTTGACAGGCTACCGTTGCTGCCATTTCCCTGCACTGCACTGCGCTCTCCAAGCTTTTCAGTTGAACTCCGCGATGTCAATGACTAATCAGTAATCACACACACGGCATGCCGTTTTGCCAAATCATCAAATCTATTCTAGAGCAAATTAATAATGCTTCAACATTTTTTTTTTATGTTTTTTTTTTTGGATAAACGCATGCTTCAACTTTTTTTATAATGAGACTAGTTGCTTAATGTTTCAATTTTTTTATACTATCCATCAGGTTAGCTGCATTTGCAGAGACTCAAACTGATTAAGGTGCAACTATCCCATAAATATGCTGCAATGACCCCATGAATTTTTAGTGTCTCGTATTTATTAAAATTTAAAATATGTAATTCATTCAACTATATTTATTTAATCTATTATTTTATTTTTTAAGAGTTGGATTATTTTACACCAATATAAATTATAATCACAATCCTAGGCATTCGTCTCGTTTCTATCTAACAACTCTAATTTTTTTAGTTATATGAACTATTCAATACAAGTGAAGCACTAATCAATATTGAGTATATTACACCAGTATAATGCTATTTTATGCTATTTTTAAAAAGGAGCATTATTCTTATAATCTAAAAGTTTTACAACTTTTTACAATTTATTTTTTTATCGTTGATTCTCATCAATCCAGCATTTATGATTTATCGGATCATATTTATTATTAATTATTAATTTTCAATAAATCATAACCGTTGAATTAACAAAAATCAATAGTAAAAAAATAAGTTGTAAAAAATTATAAAAGTTTTAAGTTCTCCTCTTTTTTAAATATGAAATGAATTTACATATTTTTTAAGAATTTTTATTTGGAATGCTGGGAACTTTTATTCGAACTTTAATGAGGTCGAGGGGTGGGTGTTACCCATCATAGACAGCATGGGAATGGGAATTAATTTTATTCGAACCATCTTTATGCTCGGAATGACATCAATTTTTTCTGTTGACTTTTAGCGCACTATTCAGTTTTAGATCCACCTTTCATAGGAGAAACAACAGATTGTTTGTGCTCAACTAGAATGTAGGAGTTACTCAACCCAAGAAACTATCAATTTGAGAATTATAACTACGGCATTTGTTGATCGGAATAACTATGACAAATTTTTGAGGTGTTAACTTTGATGAATTTTAAATGTCTCGTTCATATAAAGATTAACCATCTAAATTACAATTCCAGTGATTGTCCCTGCATGTCATCAAATTTCATCTCAAATGCAACATTAGGAGCTCCGGATTTTCAATTAATTGTTTCCACTCATTGCAAAACCTTGCAACGGTTGCTCCGTCCAAGACTCTATGATCTGCACCAATATTAACCTGGAAGCAGAAAAACGAATCAAATAGTGCAGTTTATTTCTCTTCTAAACCCACTCAAAAATCATAATAAAGAATAACATTTGATTAAAAAATTTACGATAATAAATGGAAAAACATTGTATCCATAGTTCAAACGTGGTTAAAAAAAATCTGCCTACTTTGTCAACAACCTACGAACAACTTTGTTTAATGCAAGTTGAACCTTAATATCTAAGTTATCTAACTATTCTATGAAGACAATTAAGACAGTCATACTACACAAGCTGGCGTGAGGTATTTAGCTACGAAGCCCTTTCCCGAGCAAAATGACAATATAATGACAATATTTTCCTTCTCTATAACAAAATGACAAACTCTGCAATCCTTTTTATAAAAAATCAATTCAATCTAAAAATTTAAGTTATGCTAAAAATTTTCAAAATATTTAATCATTTATTGATAGGATGGAACAGTAAGAATTGAACTCGTGATCCGTTAATAACAAAGACTATATTATACATAGAGTCAATTTTATCCAAAAGCTTAAATTGTCTGGTGAATATCACGTTAATAATTTTAATTATATTTTTATAATACCTTTATAAGGTGGATAAGCTACGCTATGAACTAGAATCGTTGGGGTTATTGTATTTTTTCTTTAAAAACGTGCTTTTTTGACATATTTGTATAGTTTACCGATGCAAATAAGCAAGACTTACAGTCATGAGTGATACAGGATACACATTTCCATCATCAGCAAACTGCGGAACTTTCTGAATTCGACCGATGGCAATAATGGAGACTTCAGGCAGATTGAGAAGAGGGGAACCAAACTTTCCACCAATTGCTCCAATGTTGCTTAAAGTAGTTGTCCCACCACATATATCCTCAGAAGTTAACTTGTTATCAGAAGCCAATTGTTGCAACCTTGCCAGCTCTTTGGTTATCTTTGTAAATATAGAAAATTAGATTATTAAAAAAAAGGCACAAGAACATGTCCAATTCAGATATAAAACATATCATCCTCATATACGCTTTATACTATATACACGCAGGAAAATGCTATGCAAACAGAAGATTTTCACCACATATAACAACTGGCCTTATCCCCCAAATCTGAAACCATTAATAAAATCAAAGGTTCATAGGATATGCGGCGGCGGCAGAACCCAGCCAAAAATTGTACTAAGAAGAATGCTAAAATAAGAGGCTGGATGCCTTTTCCCCCCTTGTAAGGAGTCTGAGAAAATAGCCTCTTCATTTCTCTCTAATGAGAAGCCAGAAACTTACATCAAGAATTAAAGTATATGTTGTTAAAGTAGTAATCATCATTATCTTCATAGCCCTATAACTAAACAGCAAAAATGGGCATCCACCTCAACCAAAACAAGAATGGCTGAATAAAGCACAACTAGCAATGCACGCATCGGAGACAATAATATAGACAGTAATAATATTATAAACTAACCTCCAATATGGAAAGAGACTGAACATTTTTTATGTTCGGCACAACTAGACCGTATGGTGTTGCCATGGCAATTCCAATATTGTGTGAACCTATAGCAAATAAACATATTGTGTCAAATTTGGTCTGACAGCTACTGCCTCAAATAAATCATTAAATTAACAGACACCCGATATCAATCAACACTAACCAGAAAAAGGTTCAACATCAAGTATTTAAGCCCAAAATAAAAATAAATATATTATGCGAGGAAACTATGAAAACATTTTCCTTGTGAATCTCATGATCAAGATCATTGCCTCAAACTGTATGAGATACACTAGGTGAGGAAAAACTTCTCAAACACTTACATTACGTGCCAGAAATCACTAGGATACATAGTAGTTGAAGGTTATTTTCAACGTATAGGAGGTGCCATTAAACCAAAGAGACAATTGGCTAATTTGGGCAACCTCTTTCACCTCACCGTAATTTTTAAAATTTCTAAATAAGTTGTTTCTTTTTCTTGAATTCATATTTTTCAACTAAAAAAATCCTTATATTCACTCTACAAAAATTCAAGCACAACCAAACTTCAAAGAAGGGTAGCAAGATTCTATATCATTCTTCCGATCATGTCTAAGTAACAAACCTTTGAGGATGACCTCCAATGCATCCTCTTTGAAGCAACTGTTCATAAAGGGATACTTTATGAGGGCCATTGATAGTGATTTGATTACTATTGGAAGGAAAGTGTGCTTAACATCTGGATAAGGATTGTTTTTCTGAAAAGATGTTTTAAGCTCCACTAGGGCATTACAGTTTATCTCGTCTACATAATGAAAATGTGGGACTTTGGCAGCCAGAGACATTGATTTTACCATTGCTCTTTGGAATCCCCTACAAAAAGAAAAGAAAACAAAATGTCATTAAATTTCTCATGACCACATTCTTTATAATTCAAGTTCTTGAACTGAGAGTAAAGCAAAACACCTTCACACTATCGCAACATTCAAGTTCATCCCAGTTTTCTACAACTTAACATATCCCTTTCAAAAAAGAAAAAAAAGAAGGGTTCAAATTCATGTATGAATCCAGTTTTACCTAAGGGGAAGTATCCTGTCCTCAGAAGGCCCCTCATATTTACTTGTCACATCACAGTTGTATCCTTCTGCTACCTGAGGCTGTTCTTCAAATTCAGCAGGTAAAACAGCAGATGGATTTTTAATAATTCCTTTCTCGACAGCAAAGTTGAGCACATCTTCTTTTAAAACCCTTCCATCTTTTCCAGTTCCACAGACTTCATTTATATCTATGTTATGCTGCTTTGCTAGACTCCTTACAGCTGGTGTTGATAGAACTCCAGTTCTTTTCCCTTTTTCAGGATCAGAATCTAGCGACTTCACATTTTCTGAATCGCCAAAAGTTATTGCATTAATTGCAGACTCATTAACTAATATCTTATCAGAATCCAATGACTTTGCATTTTCTGAATCACCATATGTCACAGAAGGAAATGGAGACTCATCAACTACTATCTTTAAAAGGGTTTCTCCAACCTGCAATTTTACCCAACAGAAGCTCAAATATATCTGTAGCCTCATATCAAATGACCAAATCATTTAAGTAACATTTAGATCATTAAAATTTCTATATCTTCCTCAGTTATTGTTAGTGCCCCAAACGCAGTAGGATAGAGAGGTAAAAGTGGTGTCTGTCTATTATCAAGAACTGCTGACAACAGGGAGAGATCTCCCTCAGGGTTTTCCCCTTACAACTAAGCTGTGGTTCCATTATTAATTTTGAATCGAGTGAATGAATTCCCCCAATTACAGTGTTTCCCTGTTTAACTGTCTACGTGACAGTATACATCGGCCTAACTAATTAACTATCTAACTACCCCATCAACTAACTCCTTTTATTCTTACATGTGTACACCTTCCAAGTCCCACTTGGTTGGATCCTAACAGTTATTGCCGCTTTAGAAGACCGCTACCATAAAAAAAATGCATCAGGCAGGCCCCATTTGTATTTGAAACATAAATGTGCTACACCATACCATCTTCATATGTCATGCTCTTATGTAATCGCGAAGAGCCAGCTAGGGGAATTAAATGGTAAATGAGTTTTTAATTATTTGGAGTCAGCCCACTAATGGTCCATCTAATCCTAAGGGAAGAGAATGCATACAACATTGTGTATCAAATAATATATCTTTGACCAATCTTCTAAGAAAGATATCTCAAAATTTCCATGAATGCACTTCACATGACTCTAGGCCAAACGTATGGCCCATACACATATGCCTCCTACAATGTAAAAAGTTCAATTTTTCTTTCAGTCACTCATTTATTTGTTATCTATTATTCTATTCACATATGGTTTCTCCACTGCACCATACCATATTAAACCCTCTAGAAAAATTTAGGGCACTCTTTCTGCTTTCACCTACTTCAGTGGCTTGCTTTCATCCTATTCCCCCAAAAATGTTAAAATCGAAGAATTAATTAAGTCTAATATTTTATTCAACTTCTTCCTGCCAGGTCCCTGAACTGCGTTGTTTATATTCATTACAACTTGTTTGGGGATGCAGACTGCATATATACCTAATATATAATGAATTTTTTCATCACATATATAACTAGTGTATAGGGAAATTTTCTCAACTTTTCCGGGGGTGTGAACAACTATCCCAAAAATCAATGTAGCTCCTTGCCTCCTCCCCTTCTCACACCAATTTACTCTTAACAATTTACAAATTCATAAGCATCATCTTAGTGAACTATATCCAACAGTATGATATTTCATATCTCACCTTTACAACATCACCAGGAACGTAGAGAATGTTAGAAATTTTTCCTTTGTAGCGACTTGTAATTTCTATAGTAGCTTTATCACTTTGAACTTCACAAAGTGGTTGAAAATCTTCGATATAATCCCCCTGCAAATATGACACAATAATTTATTCAGAAAAATCATTTAAAAAAGATGTCTATGTCAAATGGAATAAAGTAACTAAGGCTACTCAAAACCAACTCTTGCACAAAAAATTACAACTTGCCATGCAATTTTCAATTGAAATGAACTTTCCTAATACGCCTACAAAGTATGTTGTTGCAAAATTATTTTTGTTTGCAAAATTAGAATGATAGGAACAGCTAGGTTCAAACACCAGTAAGGAAATCATTCACTCACCTCTTGGACATGCCATTTGAGAAGTTCACATTCTGCAATACCTTCACCAGTTTGTGCCAACGGCACGTCAACTATCTTGCACGCAGGAAGGTCTAGGACAGGTTGAGTAGAAAAAAAGCAATATCTCTTCACATACGGAAAATCGAACTACAAAACGGAAATTCAATAGATGTTAAAACAATCAAACTTATCACAAATCCACACACAAGGGCTAATGAACTTGTAAAAAAAAAAAAACAATTAATTTCAATTAATAAGCAGCCACCAATAGTTAAAGAATAAGATTAGTATGATAATTGAGTGATGACACTAAAAAGTAACAACATAAACATATCGATGTAATTCTGATCACAAGCAACTTAGGAAAGCACAGAACTAAATTTAAGACAAGTTTAGGTTATTAATAAAAGGGGACTCACATTTATATGAGGATTTGCTTTAGCGAAGGTGAAAGAGGGGGAAGGAGAGGTAATGAAGGAACAACCAGAAAAGAACCTCTCAAAGGAAGCTGAGGGACAGAACAATCGCCGGACGGAGGTCCAAGCTGTCCTCTGCCATATTCGGCTGATCAGCATCTTACAACAAAGGAATGATTATTGATTTTCCTTTTCTTTTTTCTTTGTGAGTGTGAAGATGAAATTATTTGAAGAAGACAGTGGCGTTTGGAATTGAAACAAGTAACCCAAATGGGATTTGGATTGGGATTGAGATTTGGAGTGGAAGTGCACTGCATGCTGACAAGTTGGTGACTCTGAGTAATAATATAATGTACTCGTTGTCGTTGGTATGAATGGATAAGGGCTTATTAAAATATAATCACATTGTCCCATTTATCTATAGTTATATCATTGGGTTAAAAATTTATAGCGTGAGGATATTTTAACTACTAAAAATTCTCACTATTAACTTACTACTCATCACATCATCATTGAATCAAAGAGAGAGAATGTTAAAAAGTTTTTGAAGAAAGAGAAAATGGTGATTAGATAGGTAGTAAGTTGGTACTGAAAAATTTTGGTAGGTAAAATATCTCTCCTCAAATTTATATTATATTATACAAAAAAAAACATTTATATTAAAAAAGTTAAATGAGTTAGTAAATTAAAAAGTAATTATGAATTTACGATAGATTTAATATTATCAGAAATTTAGGTCTGCAACCTTATCATCGTCTATCAACTAGGAGTTTCCTAGCTAACTTTAGATTGTGTCCTCCTAGCTGTCCTATTTGTAATTTTCATGAAGAATTCATTATTCATATGGCACGTGACTGTCCGAAAAGTTTGGTCTGATCTTTTGAGGCCAAATTTGATAAATGATTTCTTTGATACTGATTTAGATTCTTGGCTTTCCTTGAATATTCAAAATGTATCTATTTTGTGTTTTGATGTCCCTGGTCGTTGGTTTTTGTTGTTACTATTTGGTTAGCATGGCAGTGGAGAAACAATCAGGTGTATGGTGTGGAAAATAACGGGAAAGCATACAAGGTGCAGTCTGTTGAGAGTCTGGTCCGTGAGTATACTCAAGCCTGGATAACTTCTAAGGGGACAAAGCTGACCAAGAATTACATTTATGTTCCTATTAGATGGTTACCTCCGGACACAAGTTGAGTAAAATTAAACACGGATGGTGCAGCCAGGAGTGATGGCAGGGATGCTTGTGGAGAAATTATAAGAGATGAAAATGGTGATTGAAAAGAAGAGTTTGCTTACTATATTGGCCATTATTCAGCTTTTGTTGCAGAATTATGGGGCGTCTTCAAAGGTCTCGAATTTGCTTGGACTAGAGGTTGGAGACGCTGCATCCTAGAAAGTGATTCAAGCCCAGTTATCACTTTGCTCTCCAGCAGTGGAAGAGCAGCTCGAGAGTATCGCTTAGTGACTTGTAGGAGCAATTGCATCTGCAGAAGCGTATGAGACCATTGTGCTTTGTATGTATAAGGATCATCATGGTTTTATCTATTACCTCTTTGATGGCGCAGATGTGAGATGATGATGTTCCACACGCTGGATTCCTTTGCATCACAACACGAACTCACGAACTGTTGTGGTAGACCTTCCAAACTATCTCTCGAGGAGGAGGGGGAAGTGTGTGGGCACTTATCAGATTCTGAGCTTGTCTCTTTCTCACAAAAGACCTCTGGAGGCTGATGACTTAAGTGGTACTATTTATATGGGTTCCAAGAAACCCTAGCTCATTGGGCTCTAGATTTCTTGGGCTCTTCTGATACTAATAACCCATTTGGGCTTTAGTAAAAGAGTAAACCCAACAATCTTCCACTTGCTCTTTTGGATACAAACATGAGTCAAAAAACCCAAGACCATGTAACCCATAAGTCATCATCTATCAGAAAAAACATCTCATCCCTTGTCTCAAGCTAGCTTGGGGATCTACCATCTGTTATTAATTAAGGCTCGTGATAATCAACGAATGATTATCTAATTCGGTGCTACTCCACTAAAAGCCCGAACTTGAACTCCAAGATTAACAACATTTATAACATGAATATGCATCGCCCCTTTGTATAATGTCTATAATTGATTGACAAGTTTTCTGTAACTCAATCAATTATTTATTCCCTTGACTATGATAGTTTCTCTAATGGATTACATGCACTGGCCAGTGTCTTTAATATTCAAGTACTGAAACATATCAAGGGGACATATCCTACAAATTTCATGTTGTTTATCTCGTAAATACCGATAATCAAATAATCTTACTCCCAAAATACTGAATTATTGGCGGTCAATAGATTGAACCTCACCCGTTGGTAAATCAAAGAATGAAAACTATTTGATTACCTATTTATAATAAACTCAGGATTAAGAGCAATTACATAACTATAGTTAACTGGAGATTTGATACTTTATGACAGAAAAAAAAACAACCTTAATCAAATCTCTCATTTATCCTTTCAATGTGAATGTTAATTCACACCAATATTTTACAATGATTCGGACAAAATCATTTCTTAAAATATTGCAGCCTAAATAAAGTGCCCAACTTTATTTAACAGCTGTGAATCTATTCATCAATTGTGAGAACCTATGATCATGTCCTCCATGAACGTATCCATATGATTATATACTCCACAGTTTGATCCGGACCTTAATGTTTGTAAATAGTGCGCAAAATAAATAAATAAAACCTTATTTATGAAATTCAGAAAATAATTTCATTGTTTCATCGTCTTACTCCAAGAGCACAATGAAACCAATAACTCTCACTCGCTTAATGCAAGTCTGGGATCCTCCTAAGACCCAAAGAAGTAACATACCTCTCGAACACAAGTTCAGACAAACTATTAGTAACTGGGTCTGCAAGATCCACCTCTAATGCTATCTGAGTTTAGTGAAAAACTCATAACTCGAGGTTGATTTCTTGAGTCAATTTCCACTTGAAATAACTGAATTTGTGAAAACTCAGCTTTTCAATACTCCCACTAGAATATACCAGCATATAATCTCTCGTTCTCAAAAGATACTTGAGTACATGCTTAACAATAATCTCAGTGTTTCTCTATATCCTGAATGATACCATCTCACTACTCCCACTACGTGACAGATGTCTGGTTTAACGCCCAACACGATATGCATGAGACTACCTTTGTCAAAGCATAAGATATTCTGCTCATGCATTCTTCCTTCTCAGGAGTCTTTTGTTACTCCTTAGGGAGATAAATTCTACATCTGAGAATTATATTTCTTCTCTTAGAATTCTTGTAACACCCCGTATATATCCGGCAATGTTATCATATCATCGTATTAAGCTACGCTTAATTAAAATGCGGAATATATTTTTCTTTTCTTTTATGACGTCATTATCATTACCAACTTGCTTAGTTAATCATTTAAATAAAACCATGTCTGTATGTAAATTGCAAAAGACAGCTAACTGAAATACCTCATTAATTAAAATAACATATATATGTCTCTAGTCACGGAACTACAACACGTAGACCGGACCAACTAGCAGTTTATACAACTCAAGCTAAAAGTACTAACAATATAATGGCATGGACAACTCTCATGCTCACCCAATAAAGCAACAAGGCCCAACATAAGTCTCAACTCAATAATCATAAATAACAGAAAACATAAATAGCATCCAGTCCAGTCATGCCAGCATAAATATAACAACAATAATCATCAACTAAGCTCTGGCCTCCTGCCACCAGAGGCATCAGTCCCCATACTACCTGAACCTGAAATAAGCATTCCCCAAACGTGGGGTGAGATCTCTAAACAAGAAATCTCAGTAAGATAAGGGGTCCTCAAGGATCTTCCACCCCAAGCTCACTTACATGTGCAATATAAGTTCTAAAAGCAGTAATTCAATATCAGTTCCAAAATCAGTGCAATGCAACAGATATTAATGTCATGTGTGTTATAATAATTCTACTGATCAGAAAAATGCAGGAATACGTCTATTACCCACATAAATGTCAGCCCATGTTGTACCCGCCCATGCTGTACCCGCCCACAGGAATACCCCATGGCATCCTATTTAGATGGAACACCGCATACATATCATATAGCATTTGCACTTAACAGTTCAATGGCATTTCAGCAAAACAATACATGAAAACACATCATGCATATAAACCATCCCCCCAAGGAGTATGGTGGAACAGACAATGGCTAAACCGAGGACATGAAAGCTTTCCTTGCAAGCTAACTATCCAATGCCAAGAGTCCACACACCGCTCAAGGCCCACAAACAACACAATCACAATCTGTTTGTATCATAATTCATCATCAATAATCATAGCACATAAGCTTATACATAAAGACAACGCTTCTCTTTTACGTTTTACGTCTTAAGGCTTCTCACAAAGCCACAAGCCCTTAACCACTAGATTCTGACTTAGATTACTTATTACAGAAGTCCCTTTGGACCAAACATGGGTCCATAAACCCAAAATAGCATTCTGCATGAACAGTGTCATCACTGTCCACGAAAACCCAGAATATCCGGATATTCCTCGGGGGCATATCCGGATATCAATATCTGGATACGCATATCCGGATATTTCGCGACAGACAGCAGCTTCTGCATTCACGAAGATATCCATCCAAGGTACCATTTTTAACACTTTAAAACGTCAAAGCATGCATTTTTATTCTGTTTTAGGTTCATACAACAATTGGTTACTTGTTTAACTCAATAAACATACCAAGACATCAACTTTAACCCATTAAACTCATGATCAAATGTTGGTAACACTTACCCAAGCTTCAAACACAGAAAAGAGGGCTCTTGGAGCTCACCAACAGCTCCAAAAATACTGACTTAGAATGGTGCACGAAAATGCCCAACAAGGTGGGTCATTTCTTCACAAAGATTGACACTTGGAGCTTCAACAACCAAGAACAAGGCTCCAACCCAACAACCCACTAACTCAGCCCCCTCACAAACACCACATAGCCACCAACACTCAGAAACAAGGTCTCCAACAACCCCCCAATGATGATTATCACTCACCCAAGGTGATTTGATGAAGAAAATGAGAAGAAAGGCTACAAGGAAGGTCAAACAATGGTGGAGAAGGCCAAGGCAGCAGCCATCAGCAGTCTCTCACGTAATAATGGTTGTAGATCAACCTAAGGTTTAGTGCCAAGCACTATATATAGGCGGTTTAAGTCATAACACACAATATTAACATTAATAGCTACGCTTAGCATTTTAATCCCAAACTCTGGATTCTTAACCTACTCAATTTTACAA